TGTATATTTACACTGCCGAGGACCCCAAATTACCTGTTGCTCCATGACCACACGTGCAATGGCAGCTTGGACCACGTTGGTGCGGTCAAGGCAATCCATGCAATTCACACGAAAAATCCCTTCTTGTTTACATATTACCCCGTCTGGATCCACCCTTTTCAAAAACAATACAGGTGTATTTCACCACGTGAACGATTTTCGTAAGCATCCCCCAAACCGCAGTTCTTTAAAGGGTAACCATAGCAGCAGCAGCATTAGCTCTCCCTTGTTTGGAATACTATCATCCCATGCCAGACATTCCTGCGTCCTTTACAAACATTACTGCTAACTCACACCATCACTTCATAAGAAATGCATTATTCTATTTTTTGGGAAAAAATTAGGTGAAGAATAGTTTGTAACTTGCCCCCAAATCAGACAATCACCAAGAGGCAGAGCAGAGACAGCTCAGGTCAGGCTCTTCCACCCACTTACAGGTCAGGCAGGACAAGCATCACCCAGTCCTCCCTTTAGGGACCAGGCAAAAATGCATCTAAATGATCCCAACCCACCACAGCAAGGGCTGTGCAGCCTCCCCTGCCCACCTAATTTCTCGGGCTGCCCATGTGGTCTTAAGTCTAATCTAACGTCCTCTCCTGTCACTTAAGCCCGTTCTTCTTCCTGTATTGCCCTCCTGCCATCTGAGAACCATCTTTCTTCTCTGACAGTTTTGATGCCTGAACACTGAGAACAAACTCCCTTTAAGCCTCACTTCCCATGTTAGGGATGCTGAGAAAATGTGGACCCTGCAGCTCAAAGAGAACGGACTGACGCCCTCAAAGACGCTCTCGAAGTCAGAGAGCATTTTACTCTCCTCCACCCGGCCATCGACACCCTCTCCCTGTTCAAGGCTACCTGCCCGGGGAAGACCAACATTCTCTCGAAAAGGAGGATAGGAACTGGGACGCAAAACAAACAGAAAAACGTTCTCAGCATGCTGCTATTATTGTAATGCTCAGTGGTACCTGGAAAAGACACATGATTTTACAGACCAAGAGTCTGTCCAACTGACTCCTTTTGAAATACCTACCAACACCACTTCATGTCAAGAATGATGTCATAAATGGCATCTGTTAGTGTTTGAACATTCTCAAACTTCATTCCTCGGCTAAAATGCAGGCCAGAAGAAAGGAAAAAAAAAAGTTTAATAACAGAATTTTTAAAAAATGTATTTAAAACATAATATTTAAAGTAGCTAATAGAAATGATGAGAATTACTGCTGAAAGTGTATGAGGGGAGCACTACTACATATTATATAGGAAATCATACAAGTTTGTAACAACCTGCACCGTGAAATAAAGCACACTTCCAAACCAAATAACCCCTCACCGCCGTCGAGTTGAACCTAACTCACAGCAACCCCTCCTTGGGTTTCCGAGGCAAGGAGCTCTGGTAGCATAGTGGCTAAAGCACTTGACTGCTAACCAGAAGGCTGGCGGTTCAAACCCACCAGCCACTCCTCGGAAGGAAGGTTGGGCAATCCTACTTCCGTAGTGATACTGCCTCAGAAACCCAAGGAGGGGTCGCTATGAGTCGGGGCCGACTCGACGGCACATAACAACAGCAACAACAACAACTCTACAGAAGTAGATTGCCCAGTCTTTCTCCCGAGGAGTGCTGGTGGGTTTGAACTGCTAGCCTTTTGGTTAGCAGTCAAATGCCTTAGGTACTATGCCAACTGAGCTCCCAAAGCACAGCTGAAAATATATTATCATAGGTATCAGAAGTTTCTTCCTGCCAAAATCCCTGATACACAGGTACATTAACCCAAGTCACAGCCAGGATTATGACAAAAGAACGCTGCTTTCAGAAGGAATGCACGTTTTGAGTAACATGGGAGTCACCAATTGTTTTTCCAGAGCAAACTCTGGTGAGGCTGATCCACAGGGAGAGAGCTAGTGCTAACAAAGTCTGAAGACAGGCCAGCAGATGAGTCTAAGTAAGAGAGCGCCATCATTTCTGCCAGGCTCAGGCCCATGCAGAGAGAAATGCCCCAGAAGTTCTCCAACTGGTGGGAAAAAAGGGAAACGGAACGAAGTCTCCGAGTTGCATTGGAACAGAAAGCCAACAATTAACTTATATATCCGGCCAAAGCAAAACCCTTATGAAGATTAAAATGAAAACTAATGATATTCTTTCCCTTTCTGCAAATGAGGAGAGGAAGGAATTTCTCTCTTTAGGAAAAGGAGAAGCTAACGTCCCTGGGCAAGCACCGACCCAGCAGTGGAGCTGGTGAGGTTCATCTCCAGAAGCCACCGTACCAGTGCTCGTGGAAGTCAAACGACACGTAAGTGAGGTGCGAGTTGTTAAAGAGCAACACCTGCTTCAGGTAAGCATCTCCGATAATCTTCTCTCTTCCTGCCTGGTCTACCAAGTTAATGATAACCTGTGGGGTGGAGGGAAAAAAAGAAAAGATAAAGAAACAATTAAGTTTAATCAGATTTAATCAGATGTTAGATTCATAATGTGATTTTTTAAATCTTTGGAATTATGTTTTAGAAATATTTTCTAGCTATGCTAAAAATTAATCCATTTGAGCCTCAACTGTTTTCCAATAAAATTGAATTTTCATTTGTTACGTTCAGGTTTATGAGAATTGCTTACAGCAATGGCATTAACAGCTTTTCTATGCATTAGCAGTATCCAATTAGAATACATAATGAACAAAGATTGTTGATAATAACATACTTAAAACATCTAGAATAATTTTTAAAGAAAGGTACAAGACCTACACAGCCAACACCATGCAACTCTCTGCTGAAACACAAGATACTAAGTGGGAGATACGCCGTGCTACTGGGAGAGAAGACTCAATGTTGTAAAGACGCCAAAAAAAACCAACTAAACTCACTGCCGTCGAGTCAATTCCGACTCACAGCAACCCCTCTTTGGTTTTCCAAGGCAGTGAATCTTTACAGAAATAGATTGCCCCATGTTCCCTCCACGGAGCAGCTGGCAGGTTTAGAACTGCTGACCTTCTAGTTAGCAGTCAAACACCTTAGGCACTGCACCACCAGAGCTCCCTGTAAAGATGTCAAGTCTCCCCAAGTTCATCTATATACTCAACAGTCCCAATCAAAATGCGATCAGGAATTTTTATGGATATGACAGATTAATTCTAAAATCCATCTAGAACAGGGAAACGAGAACTAATAATAATAACGGGGGATGTGCCCTACTGGAGAGCAAAATATACTCGAAATCCACAGCAATTCAAACTGTGGAACGAGTACAGAAAGTGACTCAAATGGAACAGGACACATTGCTTGGGATAACTGCTAGGCTGACTTCTAGCCAGAGATTAGTTTTGCTTGTTTATGAGCTCAAAATCAGTTACGTACTCTTATGGCTGGCTTCTCTCAACAGCTGTAAACTGTTCATTCACACAGTTGCAAAGTCGCTGTGCAAACAGACCACTATGTGTTTATCCATTTCACTGCTGCTGAACAATCAGGTGGGTTCCAGTTCACGTCTAAAAGTTGGGCTGCTGAGAATACACTTACGTGCGCCTTATGGTGCGTGTACTTAACGCAGTGCTGTTAAGGATGCAGGAGTGTAATTCCTAGTCGTAGACTGCGGCTGCATAATTTACACTGCCAACAACAGTGTACCAGCGTTCCTGACGCTCCACACCTCTGCCAACACTCGGTATTTCCCATCTCTCTTATTTTAGCTATTCTGGTGTGTTAGCAGTGGTTTTAATTAGCACTTCCCTGATGACTAACAAAGTGGAACATCTTCCCATGTGTTTATTATTAGCCTTTTGGATCTCCTTTCTCATGAAGAGTCTGCTCAAGTCTTTTGCCCATGTTTCTTTTTGGGTGTCTCTCTTTGTGTTACAGATTTATAAGAATTTTTTATATACTCAAGACATGAGTTCTTTGCCATATACATGTACTGAAAATATCTTCTCCCGTTTTGTGAATTGCCTTTTCATTCTTTAATGGTATCTCCTGATAAATACAAGTTCTTAACTTTAACAAAGTCAAATGTATCAAGTGTTTTCTACTATGATTCCAAAAACCATACCCACTGCCATAGAGTTGATTCTGACTCATAGCAAACCTCCCCTCCCCCTTAGGTTTCTAAGACTGTAAATCTTTACAGAAGCAAATTGCCTCATCTTCCTCCCATGGAGCAGCTGGTGGGTTTGAACTGCCAACCTTCTGGTTAGCAGCCAAATGACTTACCAGCTACACTACCAAAGTTCCTTCAATGATTAGTGCTTTTTAAGTCCTTTTTAAGACCTAAGAGATCACAAAGATGTTCTGTTTTCCTTTAAAAGTTGTATTGTTTTACCTTTCACACCTAGATCTATAACCCAACTGGGATTGATTTTGGTATATGGTATGTATGACAAATATCAAAGGTAAAATTACTAGGTCAAACAGTATAAGCGTATTTTATTTCAATTGATCGTCACTGTTTTTGTTAGCTGCCATCAAGTCATCGATTCCAGCTTATGGTGACCCATGTCTTCTGAGGTGCCACTGTTGTTGTTGTTGTTATGTGCCGTGGAGTTGGACCTGACTCATAGCGACCCCTCCTTGGGTTTCCGAGGCAGTATCACTATGGAAGTAGGATTGCCCAACCTTCCTTCCGAGGAGTGGCTGGTGGGTTTGAACCGCCAGCCTTCTGGTTAGCAGTCAAGTGTCTTAGGCACTGTGCCACCAGAGCCTCTGGGTGGGTTTAAAGCACCAACCTTTCAGCTAGTACTTAAGCACTTAACCTTGTGTGTCACCCACAAAATGGCTCTATCTACTCATGCTCCCTCCAACAAAGATATTGCTTTGATGACTAAGGGTCACCTGACCCAAGCCATGGCCTTTTCAAGTTCCTCGTATGCGTGCAAACGATGGAAAATGAAAAAGGAAGACAGAAGAAGCACTGATGCATTAGAATTGTGTTGGTGAAGAGCGAGCCAATCAGCCTAAGAAGAAATACAAGCCGTACGCCCCTTCTGAGCAAGGACGGTGAGACTTCGGCTTGCTTCCTTTGGACTCATTATCAGGAAACACTGCTAGAAACTAACCACATGATGGTTGGTAAAGAAAAAGTGTCAGTGGAAATGAGGGAGACCCTCAAATACATTTCAGCGGCCCCACAGTCTGAAGAGCTCAAATGTGCCAACTACCCTGCAGGTGGTGGAGGACGGCAAGCTTTGGTTCTGCTCTACATCACATGTAGGCTCATGAGGCAGAGCTGACTCAGTGGCAACGAACAGCCACAAAGGGTGAGGCTCTCATTCCCCAAATGCTGCCTCTATCTCTTATCATCAAACTATACATATTTTTTTCAATCAACTTTTTTCAGCATTTGCTTTTTACTTCCCTGCTAGGGCTTTGTTTGGGATTACACTGAATTTATATATTAATTTAAAAAATAAAATAAAATCTACTCAATATTGAGTCTTCTCTTCCAGGAATATGATATTTCTCTCCATTTATTCAAGTTTTCTTTTCTCTTCTTCAGTTATTCTTTTTTTTGCCATACACACACACACACACACACACATATATAAACCAACTCACTGCCACTGAGTTGATCCCGACTCATAGTGACCCCCTCCTTGGGTTTCCAAGGCAGTATCTCTACAGAAGTAGATTGCCCAACCTTCCTTCTGAGGAGTGGCTGGTAGGTTTGAACTGCCAGGCTGCTGGTTAGCAGTCATAATGCCTGAGGGACTACGCCACCAGAGCTCCTTATAGAGAGAGAGAGGGAAAAAAAAAATTCTCTCTCTCTCTCTCTGTATGTATGCATGTGTGTGTGTGCACGCACGCACATATATCTTTGTATGCCTATTAGATGTCAAGGTATTTCTTCCTATTTTATTCTTATTCTGTTAGAAAGTAGCATCCCACGGCACTGCACAATCAGTCACTGATGACAGGAGAATCACTACCTGTTACATAGTAATCTTCCATCTAAAATCTGAAATCTTTTTCAATTGGTTTTGACTTATATGATCTCATTCCTATATGCAAGTGCATGAACATACATGAAAGGTGGGCAGGGAAAAAAGATCTTGGAAGATACATACCAAGGTATTATCTCCAAGAGGTGAGAGGGTGGGTGCTATTGAGAGATGACTTTCATTTCTTACTCTAGATACTTCATAGATTGTAATAATCAACCGATAGCAGTCTAATTTCATTATGTTATCCAAATACAGTCTCACGTAGCTAACTCAACGATTATCTTTAAAGAATATCAAGAATATCCTTAGCTTGAATCTATTTTCAACATCATTATAAATGCTACTTCCCTTAATTGTGAACAGCATATTATTGTTTTCATAAAATTAAAAGAAACAGATATACATATTTAAATATGAAGGAACATTGTACTACCATAGAACAAAGCCCACCTGTTTTTCATAAATTTTCAGTTGTTCTTCAAAATGGGCACAGAAATAGGCAACAGTTTCCTTTTCACCTACAAAGAAGTGACACAAAATCGATTTTTCTTTCCCCATTTAAGACAGAAATTAGCATCTATTCCATCTTTACCCTTACTCAAGTAATTTACTGCAAGCTCAAACTAAGATTGTCTAAAACCAGTATTTTAAAATGAAATGCTATGCCAAAGACATCTGATCTTTTTTTTTTTTTTGCAGTGTCTGATCATCTTGTTTAATTAGACTGAACAGAAACATATCTGAAGGTGCAAACTGTGCAGTTACGACATTTATTATTTATATATCCAACCTACTCAGAAAAGACTTCACATGGCTTATAATAAAAGAATAAAAACCCCTCTAAAACAAGGAAATTTAAAATCTGAAGTTACTGAATTCTCAAAGCATACAAATTAAGCTTTGAAAGAAAAATATTTTACAGATAATTTTAAAAACCAACCTCATGCCAGTAATCTAATTAAATTCAAATGACTTAACTATTATAGTGCTAAAGTTAAAACACCTGAAGACATGAAATCAAACAAAACAAAAACAAAAACAAAAACTCTCAAGGAGAGACATTTAAGTAAAGACATCTTGACTATTTTCGCTGGGTGCCTTCTTACTAAGGTATTTCCTACTACTACAAATTAATGGCTCCATTTACCTTTTCCAAAATTAAGCATTCAATAAGAATTTCAAAGCAGCACCAATTAAAAATCTGTGAAATAAGCTATGTTTTGCTCTACTGTTAGGGAATTTATGTTTATTATTTAATAAATGATTTAAATAGTCAACAACTATTATTATCCCTGTAATTAATAGATCACTTTCTATTGAATTTGATATTATGAGTTATTGTTTTCAATGAAGTCATCAAAGCAAACCTATCAAGTATCTAATTTATAAAAGAAGAGAACATTCTCTTTGATATCATCATTTGAACACCAAATAATTGACGTACTTACTTTTGTCCAGCCGAGGTCTTGGATTATATCGATACCCAACCTGGCTCCAAAACACAGGCACAGACCCTCGAGTCTGGATAAATGACAGAGTATGGTCGTGGGCATGGATTAACTGCTCAGTCTCCACGTAATTTGCAACGTTTCCATTTTTATCAACTCCTCTTCGTTTATAGCGCATTCCTGAAAGAAAATAGTAACACTGAAAAAATGCATTTAGTCTCACTAGTTTATGCTTCCTAACCAAATACACCCACAGCTCACTTATCGACATGGCTCAGTTCCAAAGACTGGGTCATTATGCGAAAGTCAGCATTATATGGAAATGGGAGGACGACCACACCAGATCACAAAATGGAGGATGACGACACCGTCACATAACTGCCAAACCACCGAGACTCATGGCCCAGCCAAGCTGACAAGTATTCTTAATCACCACAGCCAGCATTACTCTTGGCTACAGCCTCAGCATCCACTACTGCCAGATGTACATCATTAATTTGCAAAACAGTCAGACAGTAGACCTTGTACTACTGTTGTAACTGGGAATGTTGGATAACAAGACAGTTGGTAAGTGAGGAGTAGTTGGGTATGTATTTCAGGATTGCCTTGAGATCCAATGTGCAACTGCCAGGCAGAACAGTATTGTCTTACTCAAAAATCATAACCAACTTTAAAAAGCGGAAGCTAAGATAGTTCCTAAGAATTCAAAGAAGGTTTTCCCACAAGTACTAGCACTCGAGATGGATCAATCCCTGTGATACAAGCTGTTATGGGAACATCAGCATTCAGAGGCTTATCTCAACCGACTTTCTTCTCTCTCTCCGTGTCCTTTTCTTCCTGCTTTTGCCAATTCTTTCTATTTACTCCTTTCCAAAGATTAGGCCCCAACTACATCACAGTATTGAGAGTCACTCAGCACTCTGAAGTAAACTGTGCTTCCAAACCCATTACTGTCATCAGCGTTTCAGCCCATCTGCAAATTTTCCATTCCCACCTGGATTTGATTTGCACACTATTATTATCGGGCTGCCTGCAGCTCACCTGCTCGGTGCCTACTTCGGCGTGAGATGAGAGCCACTAGAAATCGTGGGTGAATGTCATCCACACAGGTGGACTCCTGGGGTGGGGTCTCTGGGCTGCTTTTCTCATCGTCGGATGCTTCATTGTAATTAACTACGAGTTCTTCAATCTGCACAAAACCTTGAATAATGGGGATGATCCAAAAGTTCACATCTGGTATCTGAAAACAATACGGACATCATGTTGCTTTCATTCTCTATGGATGGCTACTTCTTAAACGCCAACAGTAGCTGGTACATATATGTCAGTTATAAAAAGCAGAAACCTTCCATACTTTACTCATATTTTCTATGTAAAGGAGAATACTAAGGAAGGAAGGAAAGAGGAAAGAAGGGAAAAGAAAATGAAAGAGGAAAAAAGGGAGGGAGTGGAAGAGAGAAGGCAAGAGAGGAGGGAAGGGAGGTCTTCCTTCCTCATGGTGGTGAATACAGAGAGCTGAGTGGAGGGGAGCCCAGCACTGGGGCCAGACTGCTGGGGTGCAGAGTCAAGCTCCACCACCTACTAACTCACAGAGGTCAATCACTTCACTTTACTGTGCCTTGACTTCCTCCTCGAAGAAATGAGTAAGGAAGACTGAGGAAGAACTGATGTCTTTGAGTTGTAGTATTGGCGAAGAATACTGAAAATACCACGGCCTGCCAGAAGAATGAACAAATCTATCCCAGAAGAAGTGCGGTTGGAATGCTCCTGGAAGTGAGAATGGCCAGACTTCGTCTAGCCTACTTTGGTCATGCTGTCAGAAGGGACCAGTGCCTGGAGAAGGGGATCATGCTTAGTGAAGTGTTGTTATGTGCTGTCGAGTCGGACCGACTCATAGCTACCCCTCCTTGGGATTCCAAGGTGGTATCACTACGGAAGTAGATTGCCCAACCTTCCTTCCGAGGAGTGGCTGGTCGGTAAAGTGTAGGGTCAGCAAGAAAGGGGAAGACCCTCAATGGAGGGACTGACACAGGGGCTGCAATGACGGGCTCAAGCAGAGCACGCACTGTGAGGCTGGTGCGGGACGGGGCCGGGTTTCGTTCTGTTGTATGCTGGGTCACTATGAGCTGGAATCAACCAGAGGTCACCTACAACAAAAGTCACACTACCTCATAAGGCTGCTGTGAAAGTTAAATGAATACATGTAACATGTTAGTATATTTCAGTCATATATTGTTTACAGTATAGCATTATACTATAAGTATACAGTATTTAACAAACGTGCCTGTGAGATTGTTATTGATATAAAAAATAAAGCTTAAAATTTGATTTTCAACTCCCAATTCTATTAAGCCTTTAATAAAATACAACCAACTCTGATCATTTTATTACGAAACACATAGATCTCCTCTACTTTCTTTTCTTTTTAAAATTTTATTGTGGTTTGCATCAAAGTTTTACATACATAGCAAACAATTTTCTCATTCAACAGTTTATACACGTTTTGTTTTGTGGTATTAGTTGCAATCTTCTCAATACTCTTACTTTCTAATTTAGAAAACTACTTCCTTCACTAAGCCAAAATCCAAGCAGCAAATGAAGTAATATATTTCCTTAAATATATTACTTTAAAAAGTAAAATCCAACATAATTAAAAGCCAAAACACCAAATTTCTTGCCATCAAGTTGATTCCAAGTCATAGTGACACTGTAAGACAGAGCAGCACGGCCCCAAGTTTCAACTGTGTCCAAGGCTATAATCTTTATGGAAGCAGACTGTCACATCTTTCTCCTGCAGGGCAGCTGGTAGGTTGGAACCAACGATCTTTAGGTTGGCAGCCGAGCGCTTTAGTCACTGCACCACTAGGGCTCTAAGCCAACCTAGTTAGAGGAGTATGGATTAAAGTTAGAGATTGACTCTTCTGTGTCCCTCAGACCAAGACCATCCAGGTTTCCCAACGGACTGTGTGCAGAGAAACAGGGATGGAAACACTCCAGAGAGCTGCTCCCAGTCCCAGTTTCTCCCCTTCTGTCTCCACAGCTGCATCTAGACTCAATCACAGCATCAACTTCAAATCCCTCATTTACTCCAGGCCTAGCTCACGGCTTTATGAGTCTGCAGATAGGATCTCAGGAAGGGCGTTAGAATTGAAAACAGTCAAGGGACTCCCTGTATTCATTATTCTTATCACCATTCCCATTATTTGTAATTTGTTCTGGTAACAAATGCAAAACATGACAGGGGCAGAGAAACAGAAGTTGCCAAATACCACGCTTATCAGTTTTAGATGGTAATGTAAAACATGTTCTAATAAAAACTCTGCAAAACTTATTACAAAGCGACATTGTGGATGCCAGTGGACAGGACCAACACTCATTGCCAAGGTCCTGATCGTCCCTCTCTTTTATCACTGGGTCATGCTGGTCGTAATTTGATCAGCATCATAAATAGAGGTGAGAACAACTTCATGCCTCCTTCTTGACACGTTGGGTACATATTATCCATATTATCGCTAGATCAAGACAACGTCTTTTATACTAACCCCATCAGAATAGATGTATGTGGAGGATGGTGAGAAACACAAGTAAAGAGGTTTGAAATTTCTGAAAAGTTAAAAACAAAAAAGGTAATGTATGATCCTATTCAGCTTTCCAGCTGTTTTGTTTGTGGCACAGATGGCAACAGGCACAACACTGCTGTTGCTGGGTGTCATCCCTTTGATTCCAACTCATGGCAACCCCACGTGACGGAGCACAACTGCACCGGCGGGGTCCCCAGGCTGTAGGCCTTACAGGGTTAGACTGCCAGGTCTTTTCTCCCACAGAGCAGCTGGTGGGTTCAAATCGCCACCTCTCGGTCAGCAGTTGACCACTTGACCACTGAGCCGCCATGGCTCGCCAAGAGGCACGTAGGAGGCTTTTAACTATTTCACGATGAGATGACTAAATGAACCAATCTACCTTGGACAGAGTAAAGGAAGACAGTAACCAGTACACCAGCAGGAACCTCCCACGGTGGTTTGATCATACTCCCTGTCTTCCCTGAATCAAATACTGGCAGTTCTGGAATGGATTTAGAGATCTGTCTCTTACAGTTCCCTAATTTTAAAGATTAGGAAACGAGGACCCAGGGAGGTTAAATGACTGGTATCATTAAAGGAAAACTGGGCTTCACACTTCCAACGGGTACAAACAAAATATCCCTTACATAGGAATTCCACAGACAGTACGTCCAAAGCCTTGAATTACTAGTATCCTACGGCAACCTGCTAAAAAGACAGGCTTATGGATGTGTAGTGGGAATGTGGATCGCCTTAAAATAATGGCTTGGAATTCCTAAATGGCCCCATTCTGTAGGAGACAACATTAGAGTGGAATCTGGATTTTAATACATGTGGAAACACTTGCTTAACAACTGTAACTCAAGATATTTTAGAAACAGCTACTCACACCAATCTCAGTGAGATCCCGTATCATGTATTTATTCCAAAAAAATCTGTCATCAACCTGGAAAAAGAAGAGAATGCACAGTTCAGACACACATGACTGGTGTTTTCCTACGAAGGCCAGACTGGCCCACACACTGTACGGCCGGGATCCTGCTCTGAGCGACATCAGTACCTTCTGCCAGAGGGGACGGCCGTCCTTCTCCACGGCGCTCTGTCTCTGCACTGAATTGGTCAGGTCATAGGTCAAGCTGTAGTAAAAGGATTCCGAGTCCATGAACATCTTCAGCAGCTCCTCAAGCAATCTCCTTTCCAACTTCTCCTTTTCTTTACTTTCCTTAACCTTTAAGACATGACATCTCCTCTTATAACAGGAATGAAATGTAAAGTACGACATGGCTAACACACAGCTTCCTAAGAGAGAACTGAACATAATTCCAAGGGCATGCAGAGACAATGCTTTAACACAACAAAAGATCCAGAAAAGAAACTTACTGGCAGAAAAATTATCCCTCAATTTCAAACTACCCAAAAATGCACTCAAAGGCGTGTCACTTGAGCTCTTACTTTCTTTTTATTAGGCGCAGACACATTGGACTTAATATGCGTAAAGGTCTTCAGCAGAAACTTTGAGTCATCAGGAGATGGTACGATCTTCTCTGGTTTGTTAATTCCAAAGTGATGCTTCTTACAGAGCTAAATAATTACAAAGAGAGATGATTCGTTAGCATTACCACTTGCTGGGTGTGCTTGCTGAATGTGCAGGTGAGAGCGCAGAAGTCGACATGCTGCTGCTCGTGCATGCGAGTTAAAAATAAGCTTCAAGAGTTAGTAAAATGACCACGACGACAACTGACATGAAGAAACACAGTGGTGATTTCAATGATCAGAACGCCACCGCAGAGAGGACGACGTAAACAGCACAGGGCAAGATTTAGAAGAGGGGAACCCAGGCTAGGATCCTAACTACAGCACGTTCAGGCCCCATACAGCTGACAAACAAAATGTGCTAACTAGGTTATTAACGTTCCAACAACTGGCAGCTAAGAGGAAAAAGACTGCAAAATACACGTTTGCTATGTTATTCTTTCAGGCCATGCTATTTATGCTAAATATTCATTAATGCAAGCTGACCAAGCTTTCTGGTTGAGAAGATGTCGTAAAATCTGTTCTCCTGGGAATCTTAAAAAGTGGACATTTCAATTACTCCCTCTCCTCCCATCCTTCAACGAAATAAGCGTAACAGTATATTCTTTGGATCCAGAGACTTGCTAAATTTGATGAAGCAGTAATTAAGGGCTGTGGGAAGTGTACTGTCCAACTGACCGGGGTGAAGAAGAGGATAGGAAACGTGAACATGGCTTTGTTAAGAAGGGCACAGAGGTTCTAAAGGTTACTTGATGACCAGAATGACTGGTCGGATAGGGTCTGGTAGAACCCCTAAGACTATGGCCCCAAGTTACCCTTCAGGCCTAGAATTGGACTCACTCCCATGGCTTGGCTCTCAGCCCAACAGCAGAAAGACCTACATCAGAACACCTACCCCAAGGCAACGGACCCACCTACTCTAGGGAGATACAGCCCTTAGAGCAATTGGCCATGGGGCACCAGAGGGACAGCATTCACACAGAGGGAGAGCTGGACAGACAGGAGTGCACAGCTAAGAAGGGCACAGTGAGGGGGCAGTCACAGTGACGGGAGGGGAGGGGAGTGTGTTATGGTCGGGGATGGTAATTGGGGCATGAAATCAAATATATATGAACGGTTGAATGTAAAACAAATTTGCTCTGTAAATTTGCACCCAAAGCACAATAAAATTAAAAAAAAAAATAAAATAAAGAAGGTTACTTGGTTAAAGTCAAGGGTTTACACATAATTTCATGTGGCTCAGCAAACAAAGCAAATATTTGGAAAGGAACACAAGATTTCTATTAGTCATATGCATGATTCCATTTTTTCAACACATCAGTTTCACTGCTCCTCTAAATGACAGATTGCTATGAATTGAAAAAAAACAAAACAAAACAAAAACCCAGACTCACTGCCATCAAATAGACTCGACTCACAGTGACCCCTCCTTGGGGTTCCAAGGTGGGATCTCTATGGAAGCAGATTGCCCAATCTACCTTCTGAGGAGTGGCTGGTGGGTTTGAATGCCAGACTTCTGGTTAGCAGTCAAATGCCTTAGGCACTACGCCACCAGAGCTGACATGAATAAGAGTTACTAAATGAATACAGCCACTAAACACTTACCATAATTGGTATCTTACTTACAGAATAACCATTACCAGATGATTAACTCGGGGGGGCACCACAAAATCCAAACTTCAATTACAAATGTAAAAAGAAACAAACAGGAGTTCCGGCAAGATGGCGAACTAGGCACAAGGACTGCACAGACGCTCTTCAACAAAGAAAAGGGAAACCAATTAACATAGACACAGAAGATAATCTTGGACCCCTGAGCCTTGAAGGGAAGGATACAAAAGTGGACTAAACCCCAACTAGCAGAAGAATTTG